ACCGAACGCTGGTGGTCTCCTGGGGAAGGACTGGGACCTGGGGATGTGAAGGAACACGTGAAGGGAACAGGGCAGGTACAAAAAAAAAAAAAACCCAGACCAACTTTTCTCCACTATGACTCTTTCCTCGCTCGTTTGTGGTTGTTTCTCCGGCCTCAGCAAGTGTCTGGGGCAGGACTGGACACCCGCAGTGCTTCATGCTGCAGTTCCTCACCCACGTACCTGCATACGACACCGAGCTCAGCCACCTCGTCTGTCCTGGCAGGAGGGAGGTCCTACGTTAACATCCAGAAACGTAGTAGAAGAATTAGAGATGCAGACTTGCCACGGCAGCCAAAGATGTCTTTCCTGCTCCAACAAAATGATCCTTCTCCGTGGAGAATGGGTGTCTCTCGTGGAAGGGCTGGGTCCCTCCCGAGCATCCCCTCCGCACCGGGGACAGGGAAGCTGAGGAGCACCGGGAGGCTGAGACATGGGCTGGAGGCAGCAGGAAGCACCAGCAAACACGTCGGGTGGTCGCAGGGCAGCCGCGGGACCTGTGCCCGTGCCCCTGTGAGCCATAACGTCCCCCCGTTATCCACCCATCGTTCGGCTCCACGTGCTGCCTTAGGAATGGAGCGTAGGAGGGGATCGTGCGATAACCAAGAGATGTTCCCGTTGCTCTTTGCTGCTGCAAGCCAAGAGCGGTGCTTGAGAGGGGCAGAAAAGTGGTTCAGGAGCACTCAGAGACACAGAGCCACTCTCAACCCAGACAACACACAGGAGAGAAAGCCAGATCCACAAATTCCTTGGAAGGTGCTGTTTTTCAGAAATGAGAGCACCTCCAGTGAAACAGCGTGAAGCATCTCTTCAGCGTTCTTGAAACCAAACTGCAGAGATCAGGTACAAAAAAAAAAGAACATCACGCACAAAACACAGTTTTGAAACGAGGGCACCAACTGCCCAAACCAGCGAGTCCCTTCCAGCCAGCCCCTCTTCTCCTCTTGCAGTGGAAGGCTGAAACCTCAGTGCGGTGACGGCTACAGCACAACTGTCACCTCCTCCTGCTCTCCCTGAGGATGGAGAATACCATCCTCATCCTCTGACCCCATTTTTAGGCACCAAACCACACACCTGGGCACGTGCCGCAGCTCTGCTGTGTTCTTAATTCAGTGACAGGAGGAAAGCCCCTGGCATGCAGCCACCTCCGAAAAGGCACTCCAGGGCTGGAGAAGGGGCAGGCTGGGTGTCAGGGAGGTGCATGGTACCCACCAGCTCCCACCAAAGGAGCTCAATAGACCTGAGACGCCTCAGCTTGGAACAGAGACGGGCGACAGAAGAGAAGTCTATAAACTCGCAGGCAGCAGTGATGAGCCAAAGCAGGGCCATGACTCACCTTTCCGCGGTGGCAGGAAGATGGATTGGGCAGGGATGCTCTCAGGCAATTTAGAAAACAAACAGGAAGCCCTTTTTTTCCACTCACACAAAACGAAGTTGTAGGACATGTTGCCACAGGATGTCGTGAAGGTCAGAAGGACAAACAGACTCCCAACGCCATGCCACGAAGTCACCGGCGGTGGTTTATCCGTGTCTGTTGAGTGCCAGACTGCACGCGTGCAGTGGTCAGCGCAGAAGTCCCTGCATCGCTCCTGGCTGGAAACTGGGAGCATGCTGGGGCAAACTGGCTCCGTATGGGATCCACCTTTCCTGCCTTCAGCCCAAATTACCTGGACTGCCAGAGGGGCAGGGGCCAGGAGGACCTTTGGCTGTGATGAGCGGTCTCCCACAGCAGAGCCCCATCGCACAGCACTTCTGTCTTACAAGAACCATTCCCCAATTTCCCTGGTCAAAAGCCCAAGCCCATTGCCAAGTGCCAGCATGCCCCCTGTTGCCCAACGCAGCCAGAATTGTCTCCTCTTGCTTTGCAGTGTTGCTGGTTTTTGTTTTGAAGGGGGTGGGGAAGGAAGGGAGAGGAAGCAGAGGCGGCTGAGGCCAAACCCCTGCCCTGAGGCAAGAACATAAATGCAAGACACACGTCCTTTAATTCTAGCTCAGCAGCGTCGGACACACAGGCTTCCTGGGGATGGTACCGAGATGGGACCCGACATCTGCGTGAAGCAGTAGAGCAAAAGTATGAATAAAGTTTACTTTTTTTTTTTCTTTTCAGGAAAAACCCACTGCCAATGAAGTTTCCACCACGGAACCACAGAGCCAGGTTCCCCGCCGTGCCGCGAGCAGGCTGCGGATGTCTGCGAGAGGAAAGGAGCTGAACGGCTCCTGGTGTCAGTGCTCCAAGTGCCAGTGCCAGCCCCGGGCACAGTTATTCTCCACCTGCTCCAAAACCCCTCTCTTCGCTCCTCCCTCCCCAAGGGGCCTTAGAGCTGATGTGCCAAAGGAAAAGCATCTTAGGGCTCTGCTTAAGGACTGGCCCTGGTGCTCGAGGGGTCTGGCAGGAAGTTGTGTGGGAATGCCCGAGCGTGCCTTGTGGCTGGTGGGAAGCTCTCCAGGTGGAAGTTAGAAATGAGGCATCTCCAGAGACCTCATTCATTTTACCATAATAAAATTACCACTTTTCAAAGCATTGAGAAACACTGTGAAGTGAAACTCTCCCCCTGGCGTGAGAAGCAAGAAGAAAGAACTTTGCTAACTTCCAAGCCCGCTACTCCCCCACTAAAAATCCCGATGTTTACTCTTCACCTCTCACTTGCCTGAGCAGCACTGAGTGGTAGTCCAGAGCATCTGCAGGTTGGGTGCATCTTCTGGAACAAACCCAATGGGTTGGTTTCAATTCTTGAGATAGGGAAGACTGACATCTGGAACCCTGAACAACTGCATGTGCCTGTATACACATCAACAGCCCAAAGGCAGCACTGAGTTTAACACCCTTGGTTCTGTGCAGCTCCACCTTAGTCAGTCCAGGCCATGCCTTCGCTTCTTATCCATGCAGAGAGTGTGATCCTACTGCATGAACAGACTTTCCCAGTTGCAAAGTGCTCCAATAGCAGAGGGTAAGGACAAACCGTTCCTGGGGACACTGGTTCACATCATCGCACTCCTCCTTGGCTTCAGCAAGAAACCTGTCAACACTTTAAAAAGGGGATTTTATAGCCTGCACAATACAAACACACTCCTAAGTTTTACTTTTCAAAACACAAATGGGACATCTCGGGTCCAGAGTAAGTTAATTCCACAAATATATAACAGTTTCAACAGCCTTGAGTACCAGTGCTCAGACTAAGGCTTTCTAATAAGTACTTAACCACAAAAACAAACCCAGCTTTCATCTGGAAGTAAAAGGAACCCCAGGAGGTTTGAAGCTTGACCTTTCTGCATCTGTCGAAAAGCCATCAGGATCTTCTCTCACCTGCTTATTCCATCGAGCTCCCTTCCCAACCCTACATTCATAAGAGGTCAGGAAATGAAGGCTCTTAGTCATCAGTTTGATTAAGACGGCTTAAAATTCGAGCTTTAATAGAAATGGAAAGAAACATTCCAAAAGGATATATGTTTTATAGATTTAACTGAGTTACCAGATTTAGTTTTCATTGGATGTTACTGCAAACATGAACATTAAATCAAAAGCGCCGAATAGGAGAGAACTCAAAAGAGGATATATCCATACCATATCTGAAGGGATTGGACCAAATCCTTTTGTAGGCAACTGTCCAAATGTGTGATGCACTGACATGTTAGCTCATAGGATGTAAGGACATCCTTGAATCCACCTGAAAAGACTTCTGACGACTGACTACATCGAAATTTTCCTGGCAAGTATCTTCTCTGTCAGCAATAAATCCCAGCTCAATACATATCTAAAATGATATACATTAGAGGGTATGTGTTTAAGAGTATTAAGCCAGCTTAAATTACTTGAGAAATTTTTTTAAATACGATAGAAATCTAAAAAGGAGCAAAAAAAAAATTGAGAGAGAACACCACTGCAATATTAATGCCAAGTTGTTACTTTTTTTTTTTTTTAAACAGATCTGTACAGCAACATAGCAAAGAACGCAGTGATCACAATTCAAACCAGACAGCAGCCTAAGGGAATGCTAATCCTCTATACAGCAGAGCTGAAACACTCCCAACACTCGGATGCTCCAAATATGTTGGCTACCCTAATGCACTCCAAACCAGTTCTACCTACATAGGACGTTTTGGTGTGAAAAATTTTCTGTAAAGTTCCCTTTGTTTCCAGTGTTTTTCTTGTACAAAATATTACAATGTTTTCTTCATATATATTTACAGACTTGCACAGCTAGAAAAATATAAACTACAATTGGGCTTGGCAATCAGTTCTTTTCTTTAAATACATGATATTTCAGAGCAAAAACTGTAGTGGTAACATATCCTGCACTTCAAGCATCTGCAGAGAAGCTTTCTTCCTGAAGCATATCAAGCCTAAAAACCACGACTGCAGTGAGACATGTGCCACAGTAAGTGCAGCAAACACGATTCATCTCCCTCCTGGCATAAGGAAGTCACAAGATGAATGTTGTTTGTGCAGGTTAGTGGCACAATACAGAAAAATCCATAACTGAACATTAAATTTCTTAACATTCATTGATTTCATAGGCAGAGCCTGTTAAAAAAGGACAACTAACATAACTTTTAGGAAAAGCAGACACTAAGTTCATGGGGCATTTACATCTTGAACAAAAACACAACCACAGTTAGTGTTTCAGGGGCATTTGCCAGCTTCGAGCAAGCCCCAAGGTTTTAAGGTTTGTTTTTTTTTTCTCCATTCTACTTTGAGTAGAGGCCAGGGAGGATTTTTTGCTTTAAAGCTACAGTATCTGTCATTATGGCTTTTAGCATCCCGCCTGTCACTGAGGTGAGGTATGTGCATCTAGTGAAATAGGAACAGTTGAGCAAACGAGTTTCGATGGACCACAAGACTCCGCAGTCGGGTGTAAAGAGGTCGCGTTCGAGGTTGCCAAACCAAATTGTAACAGTGCGAACCAGGATTTCTTCTTTTGTTTCTCTCTGCAGAGAGAGTTGTCAAGGCATCTCGGACGTCGCTAGTAGCTGAGCCACTGAGCAAATCCTCTTTCCACCAGAGTTCTGTTTACTGACACCACCTAAGGGCAGGTGAAAAACAAAAAAGTAGAAAAGGTGAACAAACCAGTAGCAAGAAGCATCAATAAAAAACAATAAAATGTCTGCATGATCATAAACTCTAAGAGTGTTGAAAAAACAGGGACGTCAACATACATACCTCATCTCCCATCAAGTTCCACAGCTGTATCAGTGGCAGACCTGTTGCACTGTCATAATTTGTGACCTAGAAACACAGAAGACCATCAGCGTGCAGCAGTTCTGGTCTGGACCACGGAGCATGCAAGGCCCCAGCATCATTCACCGCAGATCAGGTACTCAATACTTAAACTCGTGTGTAGGCTAGAGGGAAACCAGCTACTGCCACCAGGCAGCTGGGACACCTCGCTGGCAAGTTTGCTCTAGTCCCTCAAGCCCATGCCCTTGCTAGAGTCAGTGATGTGCCCGAGTGCTGCATTCAAGCACAGGAAGTTACGAGATTGAGCGTCGCAAAAGCGTCAGCTTCCCACTTGTCCCAATTAATTCACGTGGATAGCTACAGCCACTATGAGAAGCACTTCAAAAGGAGGTAAGCGCCTCTTCCTTGAGACCAGGCACTGCACGCAGAAGCCTTTGGGACACTGCCAGAAGCCTCACTTCTCCCTCTGGCCAGCCAGAGGGCAGATCCCGCATGTCAGTGTTGCAAAGACAGCTGAGACCGGCAAAGCAGCGCAGACCCAGGCGAACGCTCGATGCGCTGGACAAGAGGCCACTTTGTGCTCTGCAAACCCACTCAGGTGACCTTCCTCCCTGCCCGCATCAGTAACGGGAGGGAACACTCATCCCTTCCCAGCCATGCAGGGCTGAGCAGTGCTGATGCTACACAACGGAAGTTTCTCAGCACCAAGATTTCGCAACAAGAACCCTGCCCAGCAGCCGGGCTTACAGGCGCTGGCTTTGGCTTTAACACACACAA